ACGTGTTCTCGGTCATCACCGCCATCTACGCCAAGGCCATGGCCCTCTCCAACCCGGCCTTCAACGCCACCGTGGGCGTGAACAACAACATCAACTTCCCCATGAAGACCGCCAACACGACCATCCTGCTGACCGACATCCAGATCACCCAGACCGTCAGCGCCAACCCGTACTCGTTCACGCCGTGGGTCAACAACGTGGTCTCGTCGGAGCGCAGCCTCGCGGTGGCCAAGCTGCGCAACGTGGCCGGCTACGACGTGGCGATCAGCCAGGAGTCCATCACCGCCGCGCTCAACGACCTCATCGACAAGGGCGAGAACGACCTCATCAACGCCCCGTCGGCCAACAGCTGGCCCGCGCTCTCCATCAACTCCATCATCATCCGCCAGACCTCCATGACCGACTGCACCCGCGCCACCTCGCTCCTCGACTGGATCTACTGGACCCAGAACTCCAGTACGTCGTCAGCTTTTATCTTCGTACCGAGCACATCGATTCAATCACTAACCACCACCACCACCACCACCACCACTACCACCACACGACACACAACAGCTGAGGCGTTGAACCAGATCGTGATCTCGGGCATGGGCGTGGTGGTCAATTCGGACCTGATCAAGCGGCAGATGTACAAGTTCCTGGCGGGCGTGACGTGTCAGGGCGTGCACGTCAGCTCGCTCTACGGCTGCGTCACCGCCGACGGCCTCCTCTGCTCGGACCACGGCTCGTGCGTCAACAGCGCCTGCCGCTGCTTCGACGGCTACACGGGCTTGCTGTGCGAGAGCACCGTGTCGGACAGCTCGACCGACACCACGGCCATCGCCATCGGCGTCGCCGTTCCGGTGGCCGTGCTGGTCTTCCTCCTGCTGCTGGCCATCATCATCGCGCTCCTCATGATGCTCGTCTTCAAGCGCAAGAAGCGGGACGACTGGGAGATCGAGTACGACGAACTCGAAATTGGTTCGATGCTCGGCAGCGGCGGCTACGGCGAGGTCTACAAGGCCATGTGGAAGGGCACCGAAGGTATTGTGTGTGTGTCGTGTGTGTCGTGTGTGTCGTGTGTGTCGTGTGTGTCGTGTGTGTCGTGTGTGTCGTGTGTGTCGTGTGTGTCGTGTCGTGTGTGTTGTGTGTCTGTGTGTGTCTGTGTGTCGTGTGTCGTGTGTGTTGAGATCGGCGAGCTGACGTCGACGATTTGTCACACAACGCAGTGGCCGTCAAGATGATGCCGACCGACTCGGTGTCCAAGGAGATGGCCAAGAACTTCCAGGACGAGGTGCGCGTGATGACGGCGCTGCGGCACCCCAACGTGGTGCTCTTCATGGCGGCCTGCACCCGGCCGCCCAAGATGGCCATCGTCATGGAGTTCATGGCCCTCGGCTCGCTCTTCGATGTACGTCCGCTCTCCCCACATTGTGTTCGCTCCCACTACTGACCGCACACACACACACACACACAACACACACACAACAGCTCCTGCACAACGAGCTTGTGCCGGACGTGCCCCACGTGCTCAAGGTCAAGATGGTCTACCAGGCGGCCAAGGGCATGCACTTCCTCCACTCGTCGGGCATCGTGCACCGCGATCTCAAGTCGCTCAACCTCCTGCTCGACGCCAAGTGGAACGTCAAGGTGTCCGACTTTGGTCTCACCAAGTTCAAGGCCGTACGTGTCGACACACACACGCGCGCGCGCGTGCACACGCACGCACACGCACAAACGCACACTCAATCTTGCCTTTACAATATTGCAGGAGCTGAATGCCAACGAGGCCAACGACGTGGCCACTATCCAGTGGGCGGCGCCCGAGGTCCTCAACGAGACCCAGAGCGTAGACTACATCTTGGCGGACGTGTACTCGTTCGGTATCATCCTGTGGGAGGTGCTCACC